TGAGGGTCGGATTGCTAGCCCTCGTTCAGTCCTTGCTGCAGCCACACGCCGGGGGAGGACGGGTGCTGACCCCTCCCCAAAGGGAGAGGAAGGCAGATCCAGGGAACGTGGGGGGGCAGCCCCCAACACTCGGGAGGGGCTGCTGAGCAGCGGCCATGAGGCCGATCGTTGTTCAGGGCGGGGGGCAGGACCCCTGCCAAGGGCCCGCTTCCCCTCCCCAAGCCCTGCCCACTGAGGCTGAGTCATCAGCCGTTGCTCCGGCACCCGAGAGCGCCCGCTGGCTGGCTGGCTGGCTCGTGCGGGGCACACACAGTGCGGCAGAAGCCTCTTCCGGGGAGGATCTGGGGGAGGGGGGACCCTCCAGGACCAGCCTTGGTCGCTGGCCTGGGTTGTGGGGAGAGTCTCCTCCAGAACGGGATGGACGGCATCTGCCTCGTTCTGGCCACTGCAGAGGGTGCCTGCCCCCCCCACCCCCGGCTGGCTGAGTCTCCTTCCAGCTCGCCAGCAGTGCCCCCCCCCCGCAGCCCCCAGGAGGCCCCGCTGCACGTGTGGCGAACTGGGCCGTGATTCCTTCGCGCCCAGGCCTGGCGCACCTCGCCCCAGAGGCCACGACCGTGGCCCAGCTCTCCTGCGGGACCCCTGGACGTCCTTGTGTCGGTTATGCTTGCAATGGGGCTTCTTGTTTCCTTTCCCAGCAGCTGCTTTTTCACTCCCCTGCGTGTGTGCACGTGGGATTACCCTCCAGGCGGGGCAGGGCACCCGCCTCTCCCCTGTGCCTGGATTTGGTCCTTTGCTTCTGGAAAAAACAGCATCACAACTAGTATGTTTCTGTCCATGGTGAAGTTTCATGGGTAGGTGGGTGGGTGATAAAATGATCTCCTTTGTGGGTGAGCCCGAACTCTTTACCTTGAGGAAATGTGTTCAAGGAACCAGTGCTGGCAAAATGACCCATCTCAGTAAGGAGCAAGATGCCAGGGGAGAAAAATAAGTACCCTTGTGGGTCAGCCCTAACCCTTTCCCACGTGAGAGCGACTCACTTAAACATGCACTCCCACTCTTCTGCTGCCCAGTTAGTTAATTTAGAACGTCTTTCCCTCCCTGCGCGTTCTGACCATCTCAGACATTAGGGCCAGTTTATAGTTCCATTTGCTGCCTTCGGGATCTGGAGAAACTCAGGAGTGGGGAGATAGAAAGGGCACAACACCCCTTGTTTTAACATGCAGCTGAGTTTCCCAGGATCGCTAAGCATTTTTTCCGGGTTGGGAGTCTGGAGAAGCTTGTAAGTCCAGGAGGCTGGGGGGCATCCTCTCCCTTTTTCAGCCCAAGTCGCAGCCTGCCTGCCCTCGTCGGTCCGAAGTGTTGCTGGCTCCACCTGGCCAGGGACCGGCCTTCTGCTCCCCGCAGCCCTAGAGGTTCCCCCCCCCCCGACGTCTCGCAGCCAACGTGGCTTCATGGGAGCAAGCTGCGCCCCACCAGCCATTGCTGGTCGCCCACGGCAAGCCCAGCCCTGCTTGCTCAGGGGCACGTGAGGCGCCCCCAGGGCCCGCTGCTTGGCTGCCCTGCGGCGGCAGCGGCACCAGGAGAGGCGGCCATGGGGCCGGCGCTCGGCTGAATGGCTGCTCCTGAGGCGGAGCGGGGGAGGCCTGGAGCCACGGCCTGCCCCCCATGTTCCCCGGCAACAGGCGGGCAAAGGCACAGTGCCTCTGCTACTGGAGGCAGCACGAAGCCTCCCCACGGGCGCTGCTTCCCCGGGAATCTGGCTGCCCCGCTTTTGGGGCCCTCCAAGCTAGCGGCCGTCACGGCGTCCTGAGGACCATGGGTTCCGCATGCTGGGTTAGCCTGGCTGGGCTAGTCTGCCTTTTTTCTGCAAAGAACCCCAAGGCGGTGGGCAGGACCCTCCTCGCCGCCGATCTTCGCAGATTTCTGGGAGCGGGTCAGCCCCACTTGGCCTTGGAGCTCGCCTTGGGCCAGGCACCCCCCAGCCCAGCCGGCGGTCCAGTACCCTCAGCACCCCCCCCCCCAGAGGTGCAGCTTCCCCACTACCAGCACATGCTGGCCGGCATTTCCCCGGGGCTGCCCAGCACGGCCCCGAAATCTCTCCTGTCATCAGGCAGAATTATTTCCTTTGACCTGTCCTGAATTCCCCACCAGCCCCATGGGACAACGCTTTGGCTTGGCTGTTATGAGAAAGAGAAAAGCCCCCCCCCCCAACACTTCCTGCACACCAGGAACAGCTCGGCCCACCTCGATCGGGCCTCCCCTTCCTCACCCCTTTCCTAAGCTAAACAGCTGCTGCAGCCTTTTGCTCAGGGAAGTTGCCCAAGGCCCCAGATCACTTTAGCCCCCTCTCTGCGCCTCTTCCGGCTCCCCCAGATCCTTTGCTGGGTGTGCTGCCCAGAAGCGCCCCAGGACTCCTGAGTGTCGCTGCAGCGCAGCTTTGCGTAAGGGGACTTTTATTTCCGATTCCTTTCCTGATGATGCCGAACACAGAAAGCGCTTCTTCAGCACAGCTGTGCACTCGGTGGGCATTTCCGCCAAGGCCTCCCCCCCACCCCCGGCTCGGGTCCCACCAGCTTGCCACTGAAGCTGCGACTGGGCTCAGCGCGAATCCCTTTGCGCTTGCACCACCCAGCCATGCGTGTCATTTTGCCCCCCCCCCCCCAATTTGGAGAGGTCCCTTTGGAGCGCTCCGCAATCCCTTTTGGTTCTGACGACCCCAAATGCTCCGGAGCAAACCAAACTGCTCACTCCTGAGCCCAGATCCCCGATGACCTGGGTGAGGAACTGTCCCCTGGCAGCCGCTGACATTCGCTCCTGCTTTCTGCAGCTGGCAATGACCCGCGTCCACAGCGATGCCTGAGCTAAGGCAGCCGTGCTGGGAGCTCTTCCAAAGGCCCACGGTGCCCCCTTCCAGGGCCTCTCCCCGGGGACATGGCCGCCCCCCCACCTGCTCCCCCTTGAGTGGCTGCAATTCCAGCGTCGCCGGGGCGGTCCGAAGGGCAGCGCATCACTCGCACGGAAGGGTCGCTCCCAGGCGGCCGGTGCTTCCTGGCTCCACGCGGCGCAGTCACGCGGGCTCGGCCCCCCCCCTTCAGGGCCTAGGAGCAGCCGGCTGGATCAGACCCGCGCCGTTTCGGTCCAGCCTCCGCGGCCCGCGGTGGCCTGCCGGATGGCTCGGGGTGCAGGGAGCGAAGCCCGAGGGGCCCCGCACGGCGAGCCTCCGGCGACGGGCACTGCAGGGCAGGCGGCTTCAGACCACCGGGACTAATGGCCCCTGCTCGGCTCCCCTGAGCTTGCCGTCCTCCGGACGGGTGGCTGTGCTCGCCGCCCTTCCCAGCCAGCCCCGCACTGGCCGCGCCCGAGAGACGCGCCGCCACCCCTTCCCCGGGCAGGCGCCGGCCCTGCGCCAGAGCCCCGCCGCAGCGCCCCGGTCCCAGAGCCGCAGCCCGGCGGGGAAGCGAGCGCGCAGAGCGGCCCTCGCCCCCCGGCAGGCGGCCCCGTAGCGGAGGCTCGGCGGGCGGGCGCCTGCCCGCTGGACAGCTCCCCTGCGACTCCGCGGCCGCCTTCCGCACTCGGCGCCGGGACCCCTGGACAGCTCCCTCGCCTCGCCTCGCCACGGAGATGCAGGACCCGCGCCGGGCGGAACCGGCCGCGGCAGCAGCGGGAGAAGGGAGAGGAGAGGAGAGGACGCGGGGGCAGAAAGCGCCGGCTCCGGGCGCTCGCTTCTCCGGCTCCCCGCTCCCCACGCCCTCTCGGGCTGCCGCCCGCCGCTCCTCCCGGCGCAGCCGCTGTTGCGGATGCGACCAGCTCCGCGGCTGCTGCCCTCTTCGCGCTGGCTTCCCCAGGACTCCAGCGGCTCCCTCGCCTCAGCGCGGCGCCTGCGGGCCGTTTCGGCGGCCGCGCCCCAATCCGGCCGCGCCTTCCACTGACGCCCCCTCGCAGCTTTGCGGTGTTTCGGCAGCCCCGCTGCATGGGCCAGTGGAGGGGCTGCTGGGGAGGAACCGCAAATGGGAAGCCCCTCCCCGACTGGCAGCTGGCGGGACATTTCCACAGCACGCAGGGGCAGGGCCCCTGGCGGGCGGCATAAGAGCCCCCTAAGTCCTCCATTGCACTCCCCATCGCGGAGGGAGCCGGGCGTCGCTGGCGTTGCCCCCCTTCCCACTCTGCGTGTGCCCTCCCTGGCCGGAGCAGAGGGGCGGCGTCCCGCCGGGCTCTGGCCCTCCCTTGCTCTCTGGGACCCTGTGTGGAGGGGCTCTGGGAGCTCCCGGCCCAGCATCCTCCCCATCCCCAGGCCTCGTTGTCCCCCTCCCTCCCAGGGTCAGCTGCTTGTCCCCGAAGAGGAGCCTGGGGCTGAGCCTCCTCCACCAGTTGCGAGATGGGGTCCCCCCGGCCCATTGCTCCAGCCACCCCCTTTCTTTCAGCACGGGCACAGCGTCGGGGGGGGGGGGGGGGGCAGAGAAAGGAGCCCTGCCTGATGCAGTCACCAAGAGGCCTTTATTGACCCTCTGCAGCCCACAGCCCAGGCACTGAAAGGCCGCAGGCGAAGCACCGTGTCAGCCCCACGCCTGGCCACGAGGTCCAGGGGCCTGAGCAGCCGCGAAGGCACTTCTCTCCCCACTGGAGGTGTGGGGTACAAGGCACTGCTGGCAGTACTGGCCGTGGCACAATGGAAAAGGTGAGGCCGCCGTGGGCGCCCAGGCCCGGTCCCCCACCCCGGAGGCGCCCTCTCTGCCTGGGCTTGGCTCTGTGGGCCTTGCCCATGGGGGTGGCCTCCTGGGCGTGGGAGGGGAGGGGTGGGGAGCACTGCGCTGCCCCCATTCCTGGCCCAGCGTCTGGGGGAATAAGGCAGGCCTGGGGGTGCCCGCCTGCAAGCCACGCCTGAACGGTCGGAAGATGGCGGTGGTGGGTGGGGGGAGCCTCCCAGAGTCTGCAGGTCGCTGGGTGGGGGGGCGCGAAGACAGGTGATGGCGAGGCCATGGGCCCCCCTCGCAGAAGCCCGGCCTTCCTCTCATCCCCGGCCACCGCCTGAGAGCTAGGAGTACTCCTGCAGGAACCGGGCGTGGAACTGGCTCAGTTTCCGCAGCATGAGCTGCAGCTTCTCCAGGGGCGGCAGGATGGTCATTCTGGAGGGGGGAGGAGAAAGGGGAGGTGGGGTGAGCAGCCCCGGGGCAGGGCTCCAAGTGCATGCAGAGGGCACCCAGCCCCCCCCCCCCAGCTGCCCAAGGCGATGCCCCTTCCCCTGGCTGCAGCCACTCCCGGGACCCGGTCCCAAGTAGCGCAAAAGCAGCCCTCAGAGGCCCGGCAGGCAGGTGCTCCAAGAGGTGTGACCCTCGCCTGGGGCCAGCCCCCCTTCCCCGGGGAGGGGTGATGCCGCTCACTGTCAGGGAGGCTGGTGTCAGGGCTGCCCCCCCAACCCCGTTCCCCCCTCCGCAGCCTCAGTGCCACAGCACTCAGCCCCGGCTTCCGGGCTTTCTGCACCTCCCCCCCTTGGCCAAGCCAATCCGCAGCAGCATCCTGGCCATCTGCCTCCCTCAGCCTGGGGCCCTCCCAGCTTTGCTGGCTGGGGGATGCTGGGACTTGTGATCCCGCACATCAGGGGGCAGTCCCGGGGTGGGGGTGGCTGCTGCCTATGGCAGCCACAAGGCCTGAGAGTCGTCCTCCTCCAGGGCTCTCCATGGCCCCCAGGGGTCCGGGACCAGTGCCCCCAGCCGGCTTCCTGGGGATCTCCGTCGGGACCGCTGGTGGCAGCCATCGCTCGGAGTGGGGCCCCGCTCCGCTGCGGGGCTAGCAGGCCTTTACCTGAAGTGAAACGTGCCTTCCTTCTGGCCAAAGCCGCTGCCCGGGACGACGCAGATGCCCGTCTCCTCCAGCAGCTTCAGGCAGAAGAACATGTCTGGAGCCTGCCCTTGCGCCTGCAGAAATGGGGGCCGGGTCAGGGCGGGGGCGCTCAGCGGTCTGGGGGCTGCTGGCGGACAGGAACTGGCCGTGGCTCCCGTGCGCCACAACCCGCAGCGGCTCCAGCTCGGGGCAGGATGGCCGCGCTCGGCTCGGGCCCCACGGGAGCCTGTCTGGGCCAGCCCTGCCCGGGTGCTTCTGGCAGGACGCGGCCGTCCGGTCCTTTCCCACTTAGCGGATTTTCCGCATCCAGAGTAAGATGAAAGGAACCATGGGAAAGCGGAGCTGGATGATGAGCGGAGGACCCCAGGAAAAATCCTGCGGAGCAAAGGGGCGCCTGGGAGGGAGAGGATGGCAGAAGAGAAGGGGCACCCGCGTGTGTGGGGCGGAGTCGCTGTGTGAACGCACCTGCTGAGGGGGGTGTCAAGGCGCTGGAGCAGCTGCTTCCAGCCCCGTGATGGCCAGAGAGCAAGTATGTGAGCCAGGCTTTCTGCGAAGGACGTGGCTGGCCAGCGGTCCTGGAACCAGCGGCCGTTCCCGCCCTCCAGCCGGGCCCTGGGGGCAAAGGGAGAGGGGCTTTCCAGCCCCCAGGACTTCTCGCCATTTGGGGAAGTTGGGGGCATCTGCATCCTCAGTCGTGGACGGGTTGATTGTGCAACGTGCGACCCAAAGAGTCAAGCCATGATTTGCTCTTTAAGGTGTGGGTGTCATCCAGGTGTGCAGCTTTCTTTGCTATTTAAACTTTTGGGAGTGATGCGCGCATTGCGTGTGATCAGCTGATACCAGGAGAGCCCCCGGCACATCAGGCTCAGCTCCACTTTCTGTGGCTTGGGGGGGCACGGGGGGACCACTCCATGGATTTTGCCCACCAGGCAAAGCAAGCCCTGCTCCTAGCCAGTCCTTTGGGCCACCTCTCGCTGTGCTGCCTGCTCTGACCCCCAGGCACCCTCCTTGGCCGTGTGAGAGGAGACCCCTTTCACCGAAAATGCCGAGGACGGGGCCCGGGGCCGACGCACGGGCCCTGCCCCCCCGGAGCGGGAGGGGGCTCTCGAGGGAAGAGCCGCGGGCTGGCTGGGCGGGGGCACCTTACCTGGGCTTCCTGCACGGCGCGCGGCGGCAGGTGGATCTGGGGGAAGGCGTACATGGCGCCCTGCACCGGGTTGCAGTGGATCCCGGGGGCTTGGTTGAAGGTCTGCTCCGTCAGCTGGGCCTTCGTGGCCAGGTCACTCAGCACCGCCTGCTTCTCCTGCGGGATGAGACCCGGGCTCAGCACAGGCTTCCAGGCGGCCTGCCAGAGGCTGGGCCCGTCCTCTCTGCCTTCCGCCTCCACGTGCGCGTCACCAGGGGGCAGCAGCACACACCTGGCGGCCCCACGTGCATGTCGGCGGGACCGGGCTGGAAACCATGCCCCCCCCGCAGGAGCAGGGGCTTCCCGCCCCCAGCAGCACTTGAGTGTGGGTCGAGTTGTGGGTGGCGCTGAACGTGGACAGAGGAACCCGCAGGTCACCTGCCAGGTGCTCCTGGGACGCTCACAGGCCAGGGCGGAGCACCCGGCCTTCTGCCAGGTGTCCGTCCCACGTGGCAGCCCTGCCCCACTTCCTCACGAGAAGAACTCGGCCACGATCCAGCCACTCCAACACTGCTTTGCTTATACCCTTTTCTCATTCAAAAGGGCACAAGATGCTCTTTAAAATTTCCATCCCAAGCAAAGGCCCAGAAGCTGAATCCGTGCGCTGCGTTCGAACGTGGCCCTGCGCACGGTCCCGGCCTCACAAGCCACGGGGGTCCCAGCAGGGGCCCGCCTCCAGGCCGGTGGGGCAGGCCGGCTCCTCTGGGCCCCGGGGCAGGGCTGCCGCCGGGGGGGGGGGGGCGCAGGGAAAGGGGCGGGCTCAGCACTGGGAGGAGCCCCCAACCCAACGGGGGCCGTTCCCCCGCAGAGCCAACGGCCTCGGACCGGGTGCGCCCTCCTGCTCTGGACGCCTCTCTGCCCAGGCTGCAGGGAGGGCAGCTCTGCGGCTGCCGGAGAAGGGGGGGGCCTGGGCGGCCTCCGAGGCCCTGCCTACGCCTTGAGGCTGCAAGGGCGCCCGCGAGCTGCCCCCACTCGGCCTCGCAGAAGGGCAGCGCCGGCCAGGCAGCGAGACGCACAGCCTGGCTCCCCTGGTGCAAAGCCCCCCCACGCCCCCCCACCCGGTTTGCGAACCTGGTTGAACTGCTGGTAGGAAGGGTCCCCGGGCTGGGGGCGATTCACGACCACGTCGAGGAGGATCTGGCCGGCCACCGGCGGGCACAGGCGCACCGAGACCAGCTTGCTCAGCTGCTGCTGGACCTCAGCATCCAAGTTGATCACCTCCATGTACCCACCCCGGAAACCGCACCTGGCGAGATCGGGACGGGGACGTGACCGTGCAGGCCCGGTCAACACTTGGAAACACGATAGCCGCGGCGAGAGGGCTAAAAATACCCCCAGACTCCCAGCACGGCCTGCGCCCGGGTCACGGGCAGGGGCCTGGAGGCAGGCCGCCTCCCCCGCTCCACCCCACAGCCCTGCCCAGGGCGAGGGGCCGCGCGACTCACTCGCCCACGAAGCCCTTGGAGATGGAGTGGAAGCTGGCCAGCTCCACCGTCTCGGAGTACTTGGGGCCCATCTCGAAGAGCACCTTCTTGAACGAGTGGAACTGGGAGCCCTTTGCGTAGACGTTCTCCTGGTACACCTGGGGCGGGAGGACCGCAGCGATGGGTCGCGGGCAGACCCCCCCCGAGGCCCCCCCAGAGTCGGGGCTGCAGGTCCCGCCCTCCCTGGCAGGCACAGGCCCCTTCCGCCAGTGCTGCGTGTGCCGGCCGTGGCTGCTGGGAGTGGCGGACCAGGCACCCAGGGAGCTGCCCCACACAAGCCTTGCCCAGGTGGGAGCCCCCTGGTCTCAGGAGCACAGCCGCCATCCTGCCTGGCCACTGCTGGGGCTGATGGAGGTGTAGTCCAAACGTTCTCCAGAGCCCCAGGAGGCATCCAGGGGGCATCAGTGCGAGCAGGCACTCCGCAGATGTGCTGACGGCTCCCTGGGAGGATGAGGAGCCCCCGACGTCTCAGCAGGGAGACCCCCGGCCCTGGCCCAGTGTGAAATCATGGCGGGGGGGGGGGAACGCTTCACCTCGTCAGCCAGGGGGAACAGGTTCTCTTCCCATGCGAAGCGGATGACGTCCTCGATGCACTGGCGGCTTTGGACCTGGCCTGGGGAGAGCGAGGCAAGCGGGCGCCGGGTGAGCAAGCGGCCGCTCCGAGGCTCGGCACTGGCTAGCTGAGGCGGCTACCCGGACCGGCCGGCCCCGACTTGCTTCCAGCCCAGGGAACGCTTCCAGCAGGCCAAACGATGGCCGCACAGAGCCAACTCGCACGCTCCCACCTCCGCGGCCCTCAGGCAAGGTGGCCCCAGCGCTACTGACGGGGCCTGGCCCCTGGGGAGGAGGTCAGAGCCCCGCTGCCTGGGCCACGGGTCTGCTGAGAACACAGCTCTTTCTGACGCTGGGAGGCAGCAGGTGTCCTGGCCGGAGAGCCGCCCCGGATCTCGGCCGCGGTCCCAGGGAGCCCTCTCTGGGCTGCCTCGGCCTTTCCCAGCCCCGGGACCCGCTCCCCTGGCCCAGCGCCGTGGGACGCTTGGGGCACAGTGCCCAGCGACCCCCCTCAGCTCTCCCCGAGTCCAGCCAGCCACCCAAGGAAGGGCACGGGCGGAGCCGGCGAGGACAGGCTGCTGACAAAGGGGGGGTCCTCTCCCCGGGGCCCTTCTCCCAGGGGGCAAAGGCCTTGCCCGCCGGCCTCCAGGGCCCTGGGAGTCTGTGGCGCCCCCGCCAGGGCTGCCCCGGGGGGGCTCGCCTCCGTGCACACCTACCGGTGGGGTTGCCCGGGTTGATGATGCAGAGGGCGCGGGGGCAGCAGTGCTGGCGGGCTTCGCGCAGGGCCCTCCGCAGCTCCGCCACGTCCAGGGCCCAGCACTGCTGCTCGTCCAGGTAGTAGTCGATTTGCACGGCGTTCAGCTCTGCCAGTGCCGCCGAGTACAGGGGGTACTGGGGGATGGGGATCAGGACGCCGGTGCGCGTGGGCCCCTCCCCGGAGACCAGCAGTTTCAGGATGGTCTGGGGGCAGAGCGAGGGGTCAAGGCGGCAGCCTTGCCAGACTCCTGGCCCTTCCACCCCGGAACCCGCCCCGGCCACGTGCCCTCTGCACGCGCGCTCCGGCTGGGGAAACGCAGCCAGGAAAGCCGAGCGGCAGCTTCAGGCTCAGCGGCGTGGCAGGAGGGGAAGTGTTGTTCTGCTTGCTCCTGGCCACACGCCGGGGGAAATTTGCCTGGCCCGGTTCCTCGGGCTTCCGTCCCACACGAACAGAGCTCTGGAGAGAAGCGCAGGGCGCCTTCCCACGCTTTCAGCAGCGCGTCTAGTTTAGTCCACAGCAGGGATGGTCCCCGTGGCGAGAGAGAGCAGCAGAATTAACCTCCTGCGCGAAGCTGCCCCGCTGCACCAAGTGGCAGGAAGCCCCGAAGCCGCAGGGCAGGGCTTCCCGCGAGAGGGACCGGCTCAGGGGTCTTTCAATGCAAAGAGGCACCTCACAGCGCCAATGGGGTCCCCCCCCATTATGCTGGCAGACTCTGGCATCCTCCCCAGTCCTGGGAGCTCTGGCAGTGACCCAGAGGACTGCCTGGCCTTTCCGGCAAGTGCGGCAGAGCCTGGGGCTGCCTGCTCTCCTTGTGTGCCAGCCAACCCCCCCGCCCCCCGCATGCACCAGCCCCCTGGCCAAGCAATGTGCCGCGCCACAGCCGCCACAAAGGGCCTTTGTGAAGCTGCCCAAGCGCCCCGGCCAGTCGGTGGCCACTCAGGCTGGAGGCAGCTGTCCCAGGACACGGTCAGGGGAGGTCACGCCGCGCTGAGCCCGGGCAGGCCTGGGAGCACGTGACGCGCAGCCTGGCGTCCTGGCCCGGGGCCTCTCGACCGTCCCTCGGCAAATAGCCGGCCGGCAAGCTCCGCTCCCCACCGCGTGCTCCTCCGCTCATCCCCGGGGTGGCGAGGCGTTCTCAGAGGCAGCGGCTCAGGAGGGGCCCGGCAGGCCCCGTCCCACGTGCACCCCAACGCTCCGCCGAGCGGCAGCGGAGGGATCCCCATGCTGAGCCCCTCGCCGGGGTGGCCCCCAGCCTGGCCCCTGCCTGGGGGCCGAGCACGCACGACCTTCGCTGGCAGCACCTTCCCGGGTCCGCCGGGAATTCGCTGGTGACGTTCACCGCTGCTCTGCGTCTTTCGATCTTATCGTTTAGCCTTGCCCTTAAAAGCTTCGTGCCAGATTTGCCGTGGGAGCTGCCCTGCTGCCTTGACCGATTTGGCGTTTGTAAAATCCCAAATGCATCCAGTCCAGGGTCCCCACTCAACTGAGCCCTGCTTTTGCTCACGGAGACGGAAGCTGAGGGCAGCCCAGGCAGCTGCTCCCCTCCAGCAGGCCCCCCGCCCCACCCCAACATGGCCCCAGTGCCCCTCCCTCCACGTACCACAATGGCATCGCTGGCGCCCGTGGAAAGGAAGATGTTCTCTGGCCGGGACGGAATCCCCCCGTCCCGACGCTCGATGAAGCTGGCCACGTCCTGGCGGATGAGCTCGATGCCGGGGCTGGCGGTGTACGCGCCTGGGGAAGAGGAGGGGGTTGCCCAAGAGGGGCTTGGCCGCCAGGGAGGGCTCGGGGACGCAGCGGGGACGATGCCGTGGTGTGTGCCACCAGCCCTGCATGCGTCGCAAGAGGAGGCCACACCGGCCCAGCCAGTGGCCCGCCAAATGTTCGGTGGGAACCCGCAGGCAGGGCAAGCGTCCGACAGCCCCTCCCGGCCAGCTCCCCAGTGGCAGGGGTCCGCAGGTGCACTGGCTCTGGGCGTGGGGCTAGCCTGGGGCCACCGGGACTGCTAGCCAGGGAGAGCCACGTCCTCCAGCAGCATCCCTGATCCCCTTTTAACCTTGCCTGAAATCCCCTTTCTTCTGCCTGCCCCATCCTGGGGCGATCCCAGGGGTCCTAGTGTTGAAAGGGGGCCCCCCTGCAGGCAAGGCATGCATGCCCAGGCCATGATGCTGCCCGCGATGGAGCCCCAGCACCCCCCCACACTGCCTGGGCTCACACACGGAAAAGCTGGCAGCCCCCCCGATGCCTGCTCCACAGGCCTGGTCCAGGAGGGGTGAGGCAATGGCCTGCCGGGGGGGAGGTATCTCAGCCTGACAGCGTCTCATCCCCCACCGAGGGAAGGCGGCTGGTCTGGGGGAGGCGGGAGTGCTGGGCTCAGCCCTGCAGGCTGGAGAAGGGTTTTGGGGGGGGGGGATGAGGGACTGACTGGGGGCCACTCAGAGGAAGAAGGGGGGACTCACCCGCGCTCTGCCCGCCACACGCTGCCAGCAACCGCTGAGCTTTCCGCTTGGCATCCTCGGGAAATTTGGGGTCATTCAAGAGGGCGGGGTACATGCAGAGGGCTGTGACCTGCCAGAGGGAGCTCAGTTTGGCTCTCCGGGGCCCACGTGCCCAGCCCCACGTCAGTCTGGTGAGACACCCCCCCCCACCAAGCGCACTTTCCCCGACCCTGGAGCACAGCCCCTGAGCTGGCAGCCGCTGGCCACACCGGGGGCCGCCCCCAGCATCCAGCAGCCAGCCCAGGCCCTGTAGCAGCCGTGGGGCAGGCAAGAACCCCACCTACCTGCCGGAAGAAGGTGATGGACCTCTGCCCCATCGCTTGGGCATCTCCAATGTTCGCTCTGATCACCTCTGTGAACGGCTTCTTCACCCCCTGCAAGGGAGGGGGGAGGGGAGGGGGGAGGGGGAGGTGAGGAAGCCCCCGAGGGGCAGTGCGAAGCGGCAGCGCCCCCCACAGCCCAGTGCCAGGAGAGCTGCTCCTGCCCCAGCCAGGGAGGCGAGACTGCGGTGGGGCAGGCGGGCTAATGCCAGCCCCGCTTCCTGTGACCCTCAACTACAGCCAGGGGGCCTGCATGCCTAGGGCCACCTTCCCCGACCAGGTCCCGCCCCTGGCCAGGGGGCAGGCAGGCTCCCCTGCATCGGGCCCACCCCCTTCCTCCCCGGAGCCTGGGCTCCCCCCACCCCGATCCTCAGAACAGCCCTGTGAGAGCCCACCCCGCACCTGGCCGCCGTCAGCCCCACAGCCCAGCAGGCCTCCCCACTCCCGTGCAGGTCTCTCCCTGCCACCCCACTCCACCCCACCCTGCTCCCAGCCCCCCGGCAGGCGGCAGGTGTGGAAGCCGCCCGGCCATCCTGGGCCGGTTGTTTCTGCGGCTGGGGGCCCTCGCGGGCCTTTCCCTGCCCGAGGAGGCACAGAAGAGCAGGGTCATGCCCCGCCGCAGATCCTCTTTCTCCTGGGGGCTTTTGCGCCTTCATGGTTGTACAGCAAGCAGAAATTCAACAGGTGCAGCTTGCCCTGCCTGTTGAACGTCTGCCTGGAGTGTCATTCATCAACTCTGGAGGCCTGCCAAATGGCCTGGTGGCAGCCTAAGAACAGCCTCCTCTTGTCTGGCGCCCCCCTGATGACTGGACCACAGCACCCAGAATCCCCAGCCAGCTTTGCTGGGTGTTGCGGTGCAGCGTGTCCAGAGGTGCCAGGAGGAAGGGGGCTGCTGTGGGGCGAGGAGGCCCTTTCGGGTCTTCTCCGCCTTCTCCTCTGGTGCCCCCCACGGGGTCCTGAGCCAAGAGCACAATGCCGGGCTCGGCATCCGCACCGCACGGGTTGCCATGGCAGCGGGACGGCCGACCAGTGGGGCTGCAGTGCACCGAGGGGAAGCGAGGAGAGGTCCCCACGGGGGTGGCGGGCGGGTGGGCGGGCGGCCAAAGCTGCCTGGCCGGGGGGACGTGGGAGAGCAACAGCTCCAGCGAACCTTGGAACACACCCGCTGCACGGGGCCGTGCCAGCCCGGGGTGGCCTCGCTCCCACCATCCTGGAGCTCTGATCCAGCCTCGTGAGGGAGGCGGGGTGGGCGAAGCAGAGAGGCCCGAGGCAGCGGCATGGCCAGGACGGCCCCCTGCCTCGCAAGGGCTCCCGGGCACCAACAGCCCCGGAAGCGTGGCGTGGCTCGTGCGGGAGGCCAGGGAAGCCCGCCGCACACCCATCAAGGCTGCCCCTCGCATGGGATCAGGGCACTTGGGGGCCGTTTCCGTAAATCCCTCATGCACGGCTAAAATGCCCCACGCTCTGTCTGGCCCTTTTTCCTGGGCTGCAAAAGTGACGCTCGCCTTCCCTGCTGTGGCTGCACCCTTCCCCTTCCCCTTCCCCTTCCCCTTCCCCTTCCCCGTGCCTGTCTCTGTACTGTGAACTCCTAGGGAGACCCACTGCAGGAGAGAGCTCCATGAAGGGGGCCGCTGTGATCGATCGCTCTCTGTGACAACCTGTGCAGCATGGGCCGCCCCCCATCTCAGCACGGTCTGAGATCCCCCCACCCCCATCAGAATGGCCACCTGCACCCAAAGCCTCAGGAAGCCGTGGGGCGCCTCTGAATGGCTTGTGGGTTTTGATGAGCGCGTGCTGAGCGCAGGACCAGTGGACTCGGAGCGGGGCCAGGACGGCCCCCAGCCCCAAGAGGGACCCCCTTCCTTGCAGAGCCACGCAGATCTCGCCATGTGGCTTTCCCGGCACAGCACGGCCGAGACAGCCGTGGGCACGGGGGGGGGGAGTCCCCTTCCACACTGCGGAGGGTCCCAGGCCGAAGCCCCAGGGGGAACCGCCTCCCTGTGGGGTCAAGAGCTTCGCACCCCCACCGCTTTGCTCTGCAAAAGCTAAGAGGACCACCCTCCCTTCAGCTCTTCTGTGCCCAGACCCTGACGCCCGTTCCACCCGCTTCTTTTCATCCTGATAGTCAGAGCGTAACCTTTCGGCCTACTTCTGCAACCCGGTGCCCCCTGGCCGTGTGGCGGAATGAGGGGCTGGGAGAGATAGAAGCTGCATCCCGGAGAGCACCCGCTCCCTCGCAGGAGGCTGTGGCCGCTTCCACCAAGAGGGACTCCCGCACGGAAAGGAGCCACTTGCGTGCCAGCACCCGGCTTGGCCCGGGCACTTTCGCCGGCATCAGCCTGCTGCCCTCTCTCTGTCGCCAAGCCCCCCCCCCCGCACCCGCCTGCTGCCGCTCGACAACCGCCCCGGGCTCAGGGGCAGGCTGCGTCTCCCACAGGCCGCCACGGGGAGTGAAAGGCGGGCCGGCCACGCAGCAGGTCTTGGCGGTCAAGCCCACCTCTTCCTCCTCTCTTCCCCCCTGCGGGGCGCCACCCCCCTGCAGCCTCGGCCACGCTGCCGCTGCCGCCTCCAGCCCGTGCCTGCCACGTTTGCCACCGGGTCAGAAGAGACGCCAAGCCCTGGCAGGAGGGGAGGGGCAGCCCAGAGGGATCCCCGTCACAAAAGGAGCCCCCGACCCTTGCAAAACGGGCGCCTCGACCCACCCGGGGCTCGGATTCGCAGGCACGAGTGCAGCTCAGCACCCCAAGCCCAGACGGAGGAGGGCAGGAATATTAATCAAAAAAACAAAACAAAAACCACCTGTTGCTTTCGGGACCTTGGCGAGAGGTGGGACTGGAGCCGTCCTTGCCTCGCAAGCCTCCTCTCGAGCAGCCCCGGGGACAGCTCGGCGCAAGCCCAGGCCGGAGCGCGGCAACGAAGCGGGTCGCGCGCGGGGCCGCCCGAGCCAAGGGGAGCCGCCCGCCGGCCCGGGGCCCCGGGGACGGGCGGGCGCGCGCGCGCTCTCACCTGCCGGAGCTCCTTCTCCAGCTGCACGGCCCGGGCGACGATGGGCCCCCGCACCGCGTACTCCACCCTCTTGACGGAGGGGTTCATGGAGGCCAGGGTGAGCGCCCTGCCCCGCCGCGCCAGCCCGTTCTCCGCCATCCCGCGCCGGTCCGCCTGCTGCTGCCGCTGCTGCGGGGCCCTGCAAAGCGAGAGGGCGGCAGGGCTGAGCCGCCGGCACGGCCCCCCCGCTCCCGCAGCCCCGCGGCGGCCGCACCGCAGGACAGCCCGGGCGAGCCCGCGCAGGAGTCCCGCCTGCATGGGACGCCGGCCGGCCGCCTCCGCTCGCGGGTAAAGTCCTGCGGGGAGCGGGCGGTCGGAAGGGCAGGGCTGGGCTGGGCTGGGCTGGGCGCGGAGCCGCGCAGGTGGCAGAGCGCTGCCGGTTCCCGGCCGCCGAGCGGAGTGCGGGTGGCCTGCAGGGAAGGGGAGACAGGCCGGCCCGGCCGCCCGCGCCCCCGCCCCCGCGAGCCCGGCCTGCGCTGGCTGCCCTCCTGCCCCGGAGAAGGGCCCTACCCGGCCGCCAGGCAGGAACGGCGAGGCTGGCTGCTGCGCGGCCGGCGGGCGGGGGGAGGGCAGCCCCCCCAGTGCAGGGCAGGAGGGAGGGGACTCGGCTGGAGGACAGAGCCACATTGTGGAGAGCGGCTGTCGCCACGCCGCGCCTCGGGGGACAAAGCCGCGAGGCAGCGCCCCCCTTCCGGTCCCCCGCAGAGCCTTTCAGCGGCCCCGGGGGGGCTGCCCAGGCGGGCCAGGAGCGGGAAAGGGGTGGGTGCAGAGCCCGTGCCCCGCTTGGCGTCGGAGCCAGGCCCGAGCCGGGCGGGGGGCGCGCTGCGAGGCGGGACCGGCGCCGAGGCACCGGCGCGGTGCGGAGACGGCCGCCCAGGTCGGAGCGCGCGCCCCGGGGCAGCGCACGGGCGCCGCGGGCCGGCGCCACTCGCCCCTCCTGACCGAGCTCGGTGGGCCGCGAAGCGCGGTCCCGGTCCGGAGGCCGCTGCCGTCCAGCCTTCCCAGGCGCGCCGCGACCCGCGCCGCGCTCGGCTCCCCCGGCCCGGCTCAGCGGAGGACGGCGCCTGCCGCAGCGGACCCCCCCCCCCCCCCGGGGCGCAGGCTCCGAGCGCGGCAGGCGCGGGACCGCGTCTCCCAGCGAGGTCTCCGCCCCGCAAGCCGCTCCCGCGCGTCCGTGGCGCCTCTGCCCGGGGCGAGCGCCCCTCGCCGAGCCCGCGTCTCGCTGCGCCCCCGCCGGCGCGTCCACACGCGCGGCGCGTGTGCACAGCCAGGCCCCGCAGGGGACCCACGGACACCGCCCGCCCCCGAGGAGAGGGCCGGACCCGTGGCCGGCGATGCTTCTTCCGGAGGGGAAGGGGCACACGAGTGCAATGGAGCGCTCCACCCACCGTGCCAGACGCGCCGGTTGCGGACTACCGCTCCCATCAGCCTCAACCAGCATAGCCCATGGCCAGGTATGCTGGCAGGTGATGCCCAACCCACCTCGAGAGCACCAGGCTGAGGAAAGCTGCGCCACATCTTAGGGGGGGAACGGGGTGGGAAGAGAAGGACAGTCTCAGTGTCTGCCTGGTCCGAGCATGAAGGTGCTGCGATTATTAATTGCCACATCAATATCCTCTTGTGAGGGACCCAAGGCAGCTTGAATGTCCCTCCTCTCCATTTTGTCTTTACAACAACCTTGTGAGGTAGGCCAGGCTGAGAGTCGATGGCTGGCCCAAAACCACCCAGCGCACTTCACGGCAGAGTGTGGATTAGAGCGCAGGTCATGAATCCCAGCCCAACTCTAACCACTAGACCACCCTGACTCCTGAATCAGGAAAGGATCGCCAGTGCAAGTGGATTAAGCAAGATTCCCCCAACCTAGTGTCCTCCAAATGCATTGGACCACAACTCCCATCAGCCTGCCCAGTCCCACCCCAAACAAGCACGCACATCATGGCTACTCCTCTCCGCCATTTCTGAAGACAGAACACCTGGGATCCACCCAGATTTCTCTCCAGGCTTCGATGAGGCACGCGGGTCCCTTGGGAGGCAGGCAGCAAAACGCCCAAGCACAGCGGAAGTAAAGCAGCGGGGACTGGCCCACGCAGGGACACGCCGGGCTCCCGACTGGCCACGGAGTGAGTTGTCTGGTTGTGTGAACCGAGCCACAGCAGCCACGAACAACCCACCGTTCCAGACCCAGCAACGAAGCGTGGGCTCCCCTTGTGGGCTGTCGAAGTTAACAAGCCACGGAGAGCATCGCTGTGCACCCGGCACAACCACACGTGGCTCCTTGGCAACCCACACTTCGCCTGAAGCACGTGTTGCTGCGTTGTGTGAGCGCGGCCAGACCATCGGTCCCACGCAAGTGAGAAGGCGCGGGTCCTCGTCCCCTGGGCACGTCTCGCGGACCCAGGAAAGACGGGCGCGAGAGGCGGGGGTGGCTGAAGAAATGGCCACATGGAGCCACCCCTCGAGCCCCCCGGGAAAAAGGAGGCAGAGCTGGGGTGACTCAGACCCCCTCCAGGACTGGCAGGAGGAGCCACGGGGTGGACCACCTGCCGCACTGATGCATGGGGGGGCGTCCCCCGCCAGGGCAGGCTCTCCCAGCATCGCTGGACACAGCAGGAACCACGAGTGGAGTCAGACAGCGAGGAGCGCGAGGAGAGCTGGAGGGAGGCCTGGGTGCCCCTGACCAGGGCCTGGGTGCAAAGGACCAGCCCGCTCCAGAGCCCCCCACCCACAAGGCCCCCTTCCTCCGCCCTGGCTGGGCTCCTTCCAGAGGCTTAGGGGGGGCACCAGGGGAGCTTGCCCGACTTCGTGTGAGCAGCAGCACAGCTGACCACGGATCTCCATCATCAGCCCCCCAACTGGCTGACCCGTGTGGCCGCGTGTGGGACGCCAGCCCTTTGAGAACAGGCACGGCTCAGGTCCCACAGACGGAGCGTGTGCGGCGGTGCTCCTTGCATGTCGCACGCACCTGTCCCTGTCCGGAGAAAGCTTCATGCTGCGAGCCGGGAGAAATCGCAGCGGCCTCAGGGCGCAAACACCTGCATGGCGCCATCCAGAGCGCATGGAAGGATGCTGCTCGCCCACTTTCCTGGAGCACAAGCGCTGCTGTGGATTTGCCAGTCGGGGGAGAAGAGCCCCCGTCTGCGTGCTGACAAAGGCCGAGGTTAGAGCTGGGCATGGAGCACAAGCCACCCATCAGCTGCAGCCGGGGGACATCCTGGAATTTTGGGCCGAGCCTTCCCGAGCCCCCCTCACCTGCTGTTCCATGCTCAGGTGGCGCCCAGCACCACCTTCACCCTGCGTTGGTGGTTAGCAGGCCCATCCCCAGCTGGAGCAGCGGCAGAGCCTGGATGTGGCGGACGGAGTGGTCCCTTTGTCTTGGGACAGAACACTCCGGGACAGAACTCTCTGGAAATTCTGGGGACAATGCAAGGCTGGCCCTGACCTGGAGGAAGCCAGACGTGCAGGCTGAGACACCCCTCGGCTGCATCTCCCTGGCTATTCGGCAAAGTGCAAAAGTGAGCACTCTGCAGGTTTGGGGGCCCTGACGAAGGCCCAACCATTCCACCTACCGGAGCCATCCCTGTGCTCACTCCCAGCCCGGGTTCAGAGGCAGAGTTTTGCTTCTCACCTCCTAGAGAGGTGAGCTTGGTGGGCCGTCATACAGGGATTTTGCTTAGCAGCACCCCAGTTTGGAGAGGAGGAGAGGAAGACCCCCCCCCCCAAGGAGGACACTGCCCACCACCACCGTGCCCAAGTTCTTCCCCAGCAACTTGGCTCCAAAGCCTGTTTCTTCCTGAGAAAAAAAGCAGCAGCAGGCCGGCAGGGCAGGGCAGGGGAGGCCTCGGTGGGCCTGCTGGTCTCCATTGCTGTGGCCATGCAGTTCCCACCTCCTGTCCAGCGGGCTCAGACCAACCTGGTGCCACCTGCTGCATTAGGCCACAGCCAGCCATGCCGGCTGTGGCTGCTGGGAGGTGCAGTCCAGCCCATCTGAAGGGCAGGCTGCGTTAGGACCTCTGAGATGTATTAACTGTGGGCAGCCAGGGCTGCCAGGCCGGGAGCCGTGCCTGGTCACCCCCTCGCGGCGTTTCCAGCACGCGGCCTGAGCGGCACGTGGGTTCCCCACCTTTTGCTAAGAATATCTGTCTCTCCTCTTCTCCTTCCGAGGCCTTCAGGCAGGCACCCTCCCTTAAGCACTCCGAGCATCCAGACCCGTCCTAAGAAGGACTCTGTGCTGCTGTTCCTGCCGCAGCTCTTCCGTCTCTGGCCTCCTCCTCAGACAACTCCCTGGCCTGCCTCTGGCCCAGCTTTTGTTTGCATTGCCAGCCTTTCCCTCAACTGATTAGATTTGTCCCACGTCGATCTGGCGGCCACTGAAGTTGCGAGCTTGGTCGTGCCCGGTGCCGGGCTCCCCCCCTCGGCTTTCCCACCTCCCCATGCGCCCTCCGGCTCTGCGCAGCGCTGCCTCCCCAGAGGCTCCCCGCCTCCCCTCTCCTCCATGACGGAACCAAACAGCTGCCACTCCCAGGCGGGCGGTCACTCGCCGCCCACGTGCCCCTCAGGTCTATTTTTACGATAAAGCACAGACCCGAGGGGCTCACCTCTTGGCTTGCCCGCGTCTCTCCCCAGCTGGATGGCTCCCGTTCCCGCTGTGGCGCACCGTACCTTTTGGCTAGAGGTCCAAAGACGCGCCGTGCGAGAAAGGCTCCCCTGTCTGCCCGGAATCCCCGCTTGGGGGCTTCAGTGGCCCAGGAGGCCCCTTCTGGCTGGCGCTGTCTCTATGCTTCACTGAAGGACCCCTTCGCGTCCTTGCGCTGTCCTGTGTTTATCACAGTTCACTTTAAATTAGCATATATACCTAATTAAATATTGTTTTATTGTAGATGTTGTTGCTATTATATTCTGTAAGCCGTCCAGAGAGTTATTCTGGCTAGTGGGTGGGGTAGAAAGGAAATGGAATAATAAAATTAATAATACTGAGCAAGAGGAGAGGAATGCCCAGCCCGTCTTTCTGCAGCCGGTGTGCATCTCCCGCACGCCTCGTGCGCCAACCACCCACGTTCCCCTTTCTCGCAGCATCGAAAGGCACGTGGTGACGCGTGGCTGGGCCCTGCTTTTGCCGAAGGGCGCCTTTGGTGAGGGGCT